TATTAATATAATATTATCACATTTACCTGCAGAATATGCAGACACTCTAGAAATACCTCATCACAAACACTTCAACAAGTGACTCAATTTCCAGAGGGTTTACATTGTTTAGTTCGCACAGCTTTGGCTTCCTCTGTATTTGGAGCACCTACCCGACCAATTAGGTTTTGCCCTTTTGTTTTCGAACTCGCAACCCAGTTGCCAAATGGAAATGCACAACTCGCCTTAACTGCTACTGCTGCTGAGAATTCAGCATATGCAGGTCGCTGGTTTCAAAAAAAAAAAAAAAAAAAAGCATATGCAGCTATCCTACTCAGCATGCAGTGGACGAAGAAGGTTGGAACATCATGGTCGGGCTGCCTTCACTGATGATATAACCCAACCGACCAATAGACCCATTGCGTATTTTACTATTTTGTTTTCTTGTTTAAATTACTTCTGGAAGGACAAACAAAAAAATAGAATGTTTACACATGAACCGAAGAGGAAATTGTGTTGCAGAACTTTGTGTACGTCGTGGATGGTGGTGGATGATGCACCGGCAGGGGCATCAGAAAAGAGTAGGGCGGATGATACAGAGACTTGGTGCGCCCAAGGGTGGGTGGCAGTCTGGAAGATTGGGAAATAGAGAAGGAAAGGTGCGCCCAAGGGTAGTAGGGCGGATGATACAGAGACTTGGTGCGCCCAAGGGTAGTAGGGCGGATGATACAGAGACTTGGTGTGCCCAAGGGTGGGTGGCAGTCTGGAAGATTGGGAAATAGAGAAGGAAACAAGAACATTAGAATGTTTACACATGAACCGAACTCGATGGCGAAAGTAACATCCACTGGAAGCAATGGAGAACTACAGAGCCTTTATGGCAAAGGAGACCCGCCCACTGCTTCCAGGTCCCCTTCTTGCAACCTAACGTTGTACTTGTATCATGACATCGCTTCCCCTCCTCAAAGGACTTACAGACTTACAGACTTACATTCTTAGGGCTCCTCTAAGGATTAGGATTACTGCACCGTCCTCGTTTACTCTTGTTGCTACTGTCCCCCACCCAACCTCCTCTCCCTCTTCCCCCCCTTCCTCCCATCTCTCTCTCCTCCCCCCTCCATCCCCGACATGTTAATGGAAGGAAGGGTTGTCAAGTGATGTACTGGCAGCCGCTGAGAGACAGTACATATCATCTGCCAGAGGAAGATGTGCAATTGCAAAAAACGGGTCTGACACAAAGATACCCGGATAGGGGAGAGGCGCATTTGGAGTGCGCAGCCACTGCCTCCCTCCTCCCGGGAAGCAGAAACATGGAGGGATATTCCCTCAATGGAACTCAGCCGGTCGTTCAGGAATCTTGCTCAGTGGAGGGAGCCCGATGATTGGTGGCCTGCTCAATACAGGGACTGAAACTCGCTATGCAGCTCAGGAACAGAGCTCAGTAATGGCTTTCCATAGGTGATGGGGGTGGCAGGCGACAGCGAGCAAGTTCCTCGGCAGGAGCTGCCCCAAGAGTGGGAGCCGGTCTCAGCAGCATCCGAACAAGCGACGACAACAACAACAGGCCGGTGGGTGACTGACTGTGGGGCGGCAAAGCATTTCTCACAACTGGTTGCCAGTACCAGGATGCCACACATATAGCATGTTCGGCCTGGCCAGGCATCACTCCAGCAAACAGCATAACTGAATAACGTCATAATAGCAGGAACCATCTACAATGTCTGCATTTATCTGAGAATTTTCATAGATAGTATAGATCAGCCAAGATGATACAGGGGAGCTGTGGATACATAGGAGTAGTCTCAGGAAGATCAGTTTTCAACTTCTAGGTGGGGGCTGGGTCAGTTGTAAAGTATGAGCCCCGCAATGGGAACGCGACAACTTGCAGCTCCAAGGGATACAGGGTGCTCCAGAGTAGAATAGAACAATGACTACAGCCTCAACATTGACCTGCATTGTTGTATTAAAGGGACGCTGAACCCGGTTTCCAGCAGGGGTCCCTCCCCACCAATAGATGGAGCAGCCCAACAGCCAAGGCCTCAATTCCGGCGGTTCTCTTACCACTGCCGGGATAGTGGCCTTACAAAAAGGGCTTTTGTCAAGTTTTGTGTAAAAAAAAAGAGGAAATTGTGTTACAGAACTTTGTGTACGTCGTGGATGGTGGTGGATGATGCACCAGCAGGGGCATCAGAAAAGAGTAGGGCGGATGATACAGAGACTTTGTGCGCCCAAGGGTTTTAGGGCGGATGATACAGAGACTTGGTGCGCCCAAGGGTGGGTGGCAGTCTGGAAGATTGGGAAATAGAGAAGGAAACAAGAACATTAACGGTGACAAGTAGGAATTGTCGGAGTATGCCCCGAGCGCTGAAAAGCTTGTGCTGACATTCACTTGGAAAATAAATACTCCGTCAGGAAAACGACACTTCCCAGTGTGAACCAAAAGAGTTGGGGTCGCCTTTGTTTTTTTGAGCACTTGGAAAATAAATACTCCGTCAGGAAAATGGCACTATTTGCATCGAAATAAATACTCCTGTATGGCGAATCGAACAAGTCCCGGTAGAGTTCCTCTCTCTCTCTCTCTCTCTCTCTCTCTCTCTCTCTCTCTCTCTCTCTCTCTCTCTCTCTCTCTCTCTCTCTCTCTCTC